TCATTTAAGGAATGCATTCAAGAAATTTTTTGTGATAATTCATATATGGATTTTGAAAACTTAATAACATCATTAAGTTTGTCGCAGTATCAATAAATTAAATTGTTACACACGAAGATTTTTGAAGCAAATTATTATTGAAATTGAATTTAAAGCTGATTTCCAAATGCAGATTTAAAGAATTCGAAACATGTTTTCCGCCTTTTTTACAGAGCAAATGATACAGAATATTGATTAACAGGGAATTTTTTCAATTTTATAAAGGTCTACATTATAATATTAATGAATAAAATGTGAATCTCACTCATTGTGAAAGTTTCCTGCCTATATAACATAATTTAATCCAATCTATTAATTACAAATCATCTTTTAAAATTTATATTAACGTCGTATACGTACTTCATATTGTATTGTTATTGTAATTAAAGTTTAATTATATAAAATCAGAACTCGACAAGTAATAAGAGATACTATTCTTATTAAAGCCAATAAATTTATAGAATAAAATAATTATTATTTTATTTAATTATCAAAAAAGCTGATAAGCTATCAAAAATAAGTATAACATAAATAAAAGCTAAGTGCAATATAAAATATACAAGTTTTTTAATATAATTGAAATAGCTGAAATGGAATACAAGTAGGGAATGATAATGCAAAATTAATTGAAATTAAAATTGATTACATTAAAAAAATTAAAATCTAATGTGGACAGAATAAGAGCGACCGTCATGTGTATTTCCAATATAAAATATGCAAATTCAACTAAATTTTTTGTTAAGGTTCTAAAAGGTCATAAAAATGCCTCCTATATATGCTTATATCAAATTTTAAAGTTATAAAGGATTTTATTGTTTCTGACTAAGATAACCTTAATTTTGTTTTTAGTAGTTAAGTTTACACAAATAGTAAAGTTTGATAAGGAATAGAAAAACAAGATTTAATTTAAAGAATGTCGAAATCAACATTTCTTTATAGAAATGCTAAATTTTTTCGGGATACTATGAAATCTGAGTAGTACAGAATCTAATTGACTGTAATCTCGTTCAAAAGTGTTGTTGAATTATCTTGCATTTTCCCAACATCAGAATATTTCAGGCATTTATATTCAGAAAATTCCATATGCGATAAATTTTGTATGAAAGCATTACCTCTCTTTTACTACATAATAATATGCGGTATGTTTTATTTTGAGTTTTGAGTATTTTTAATCATTACGATTTTTAGCACTTTTCCAAAAATTGTTTGAAAAAAAGTGCTTATTAGTTTCACTCTGTCCATCCGTCCGTCCGTCCGTCCGACCGTCCGTCCGTCCGTCCGTCCGTCCGTCTGTCCGTGTGTCTGTTTACAAAACTTCTACATTTTTAAAGATAGAAAGCTGAAATTTAATACGTACATAGATTTTTACTAGAAACTTATTTCCGCAGAACTAAATTTTTACCTATCTCCCCCCCCCCCCTCTAGAAGTTATACCCCCCCAAAACCCTAAAAATGGCCTTTTTTAACTATTTGTTGCAATGAAACCATAAGCATTTTTGAATTTTTGCAAACGCATAAAGGCAGCGGCTTCCTTCCCCTATCGCGGTATACTATAGTTAAACTTTAGAAAAACAAAATAGCCATTCAAATTTACCGTTATCTACAGTCCTTTTTTACCAAATTTTTGATGTCGTTTTTCTTCTAGACCCCAGCCTGTAGAAGCTTGAAATTTTAGGGACTTTTAGACATTAACATTTAGTTCATTTCGTTAGAAGAAAATTTTTTTCCATCTCCACCCCCTCTCAAGTTATGGCGTCTTGAAATTTGTAAAATTTGCATTTTCGACACCTTATATTTCTGAAACCGCAAGCTTTTTCAAATTTCTATAAACGCAAAAAGTTAACGGTAAATTCCATGATATTAAAAAATATAATTATTTTTCTTAACTCATACAATTTATCCTTAAAATCGAGCATTATTTTAACCCCTGCTTATATTAATTTTTGCTTTATTTCAAAGACTGCATAAATCGTTCATCCTAAATATAAGCAATCCTAGAAATAGTTTTGTATATGAATGAAAAAAATTTTAATAGTGTGATAGGTATACATACTCGTAGACTGTATTTAAAAGCAGAATTTTCACTTGTTGAAGGGAAAAGTGCTACAATACAAACCATTGGTTTGACCCAACTTTATTACTGTTTACTTATACTTACTTACATACAATCACACATTCTACTTTCAAGCAACAACATTGTTAGTATAAAAATTTTAAAACTAATAAACATTATTAAAAATAAATAAAAAAATGTTTTTATTTTTTTCAAAACATGTGTACTATCATTAGTAAAGAATTCAAGTTCAATAACAATAATAAAGACAAAGAAAACTAAACTATGATGAGCTTTTTATATATATATGCCTTTTACAAAAGCATACACAATGTTAAGCCAATTTTAAACTGACAACATAATATTGTAATTGTGTATTTTAAGTAAACTCAAAATAATAATAATAATAATACACCTACGATCAAAATAACAACAAACAAATTTAAATTCCTGTACAAGTACGAGAGAATGCCCCAAAAAGTAAAATTTATAGCAGTTAAACCTGTTATAATGAATCGCAAATTCAAATATGAATTTTAAGCTAGCTTAAATTTTAAAATTCCGTACCATAAATAAAACAAAACAAATAAAAACGTTTTTCAGTCGGTATAAACAAAATAATACCCTGCACTTTGGCAGTTCAAGTTTAAAAATTTGTTTTTGAAATATCTAGAATTTAGTTTTCATTGCTAAATGACAATTACTCGAACCTGTCAAAACACTCAATAGAAACTTCACCTATATTATGTCCATTCTATAAGTGGACAACCGACTGCTAAATCTTATGAATTTAATTTTATTATTTTTTTTGAATATTTTAAATTAGCTTTTGGAGCTCTATAGCAGCTACCAAAACGAAATACAGTCTTTTCAATAAAATTTTCAGAATATATGTAGAACGTAATTAGAAGAATTACTGGAATATTGTAGAATTGGAATATTATGTAGAACGTACTCTTTGAGTTGTATAACAGCTACCCGAACCAGTTGTCCGAATCGGTTCTATTTACAATAGTAGCCGTCGCTGGCACAAGGGAAGCAATTTGTGAAAGTCAACGCAGAATTTTACGCTAAGCAAGAATATAATACATGTCCATATCGCAAACAACTCTTTTAAGTGATTACAAATTCCATATCAAAGTGAATATACCCTTCAGGAAGGTGCAGGGTATAAAAAGCTATGACTATAATTTTAAACTTGAGATTTGTTGAGAACACGTAAACTCAAATATTATAATATTCAAATTCACCCAATATAATTTTTACGTAATTTAATTTATTGCGTAATTTATTCTTTATATAAATGAATATACTTTTAAAAAGCTTTTATATTCTTATACAATTAATAAAATGAAATACCTACAAGTGGCTTGTAACTTTAACATTATCATCACAATTAATACAACACACATATTATGATGACATACAAATAAACATTTAATTTTACGAATGTATAATTTAAAAATAATCAAGACAAAAATTATACAGCATTATCAGTAAAATATACACTGTTATACAAGTATACATATTGTATGTATAAGTTAAATACAAAAACAAAAATTTAAAGCTTTGCTTAGTAAATTACGCACGCACGATGAACAATAACAATATTGTGATGATGAACATGATAACAAAGTAGACTAGAGTTGTTCAGCTTTTAAATTGAAGTTGAGTTGCATCTACATGTTCGAACTGCTCATGAATAGCCGAAATTATTATATTACCTCGAACAAAATAATGCGTAGAAGATCTGTGCAGTTAAGTTATTTTTTTGGATTGGTACAAAATTTGACTTATAGACTTCAAATTTCATTAAGATATTTAAATGGAAAGGCGTTTATAATAGAGCGAAATATATTTGAAATAATTACGTGCTATTTTCGTATTTTTAAAAACTTTAAGATGAGAAGTAAATTTTCGACAACAAATTTATCACAATTTATTACGGTATTCCGAATGGACCATCAATATCAGTTTTGTTTTTGGAATATTAATTTTAAAAAAATATTAATAAAAGCTTTTGAACTTGTATAAATATAATTTAATATCTATAGTTATAATATATATATCAAAAAATATTATGATAGCATTCTGATTTTTGCCATAAATAATAAGTAGATGTTTTCATAGAACTAATTTGTATTCAACAAAATTGTAAGATAATCATTATAGAATGAGAGAAACATTCACTAACATTGCATAACACACAACTTGTAATATATTTTGTAATTGTGTATGTTTATTTGAAATATAAATAACTCACATATTCAAACTATCAGAACATATAACATTACACTAGAACTACAAATTTATCATATTGACCTATGAATTTATTTGCTTTTTTTTTATTACAAAAGCATGCACTCTATAAAAATATTGAAAGAAGAGAGAGAAATAGATTACAGAAACCAATCGATTAACCTCTTACTGCAAAGCGTCACCATATAACAGTAAAATCTATGAATAAAATTGCGAATTAACGTATTGAAACCAATTATTTTTTTATGCTTGCAACTAATTTTATGGTGAACCTACGTATTCGGAAAAAAATTTTAACTCAGTTTTTACATAATTGTTCATGATTTTAATGTAAAGATAATCAAAGCTTCATTTATATTATTTGGGTTAATTTCCAGCATACATACCGGTTTTTTATTCATTTTATATACTGGTTTTCATTCAACGGTCTATTGAACCAAAAAGCTTTAATTTAAATACATTTTATTTAAAAATTTAAAACATACATTTAATTTTTACATTAAAAAATGTTTGTTTGATAACAAAATTTTTTTTTCTCAAATTAATTAAACAAAACACGTTTACGTACTCGTATAATATGTATTTCTTAAAATCATTCCGGAATTTAATTTTATTTATTTAGTATGTTTTTATTGGTCTAAGAATAACAACCATTAAATCGAATATTGATTCAAATTTTCAATAAAAGTAATAATGTCGAAAAACTTAACAATATTTGCGACATTTAAACATAGAAATTGCATTACGACACGCAGTAGTTCAAGATTTTTTGTTACAAAAGTAGCACATCAAACACAATTAAATACAGAAAACTTAAATAAAAATGAATGGGAGTCGGCTAAACCATATGAATCAATTCCAGGACCAGGTAAATGGTCACTTTTAAGAAGTTTCTTACCAGGCGGAAAATTTCATAATAAATCTCGTGTATATATAAGTGAAACTTTACATCACAAATACGGTGAAATTGTTAAAATACCAGGAATGTTCAAAGAAAAAGATGTTATTTTTACATTTAATGCAAATTATTTTGAAAAAACTTATCGTCATGATGGTGTATGGCCGAGTAGAATAGGACTTCAAACACTTACTTATTACAGACATAATTTGAGGCCAGAAATTTTTGAGGAAACAGGAACATTATTAACAAATAATGGTGAACAGTGGGGTAAATTACGAAGTATAGTAAATCCAATAATGATGCAACCCAAAACTATTAAAACCTATGTTTCAAGAATGGATAAAACAACAACGAAATTTATTGAAAGAATAAGAAAAATTCGAAATCCAAACACTTTACTGTTGCCTGACAATTTTGAATTCGAACTAAATACATTAGCTTTAGAGCACATTTGTTTGGTAGGTTTAGATAGTGAACTAGGTTTAATTGGAAATGAAGATAAAAATAGCGATGGACAGAAATTAATTCGATCAATAAGTACAATATTTTCTTTACTTGGAGAAATAGAATTTAAACCTTCATTATGGAAATACTATGAAACACCGAATTATAAGAAAATAATTGAAGCTTATGATGCACTTACAGAAATAACATTAAAATATATTGATGAGGCGATCGAACGCTATAAAACAATTGAAAAACACGATAATCGAAATGAACAAGAAAAGAGTATTGTTCAACGTTTAATTAACATAAATAAAAATGTTGCTGTTGTTATGGCAATTGAAATGTTTTTTGCTGGTGTTGATACAACAACATCCGTATTTGCAGGATTAATGCTTGCTCTGTCAAAAAATCCAGAAAAACAAGAAATTTTACGTGAAGAAGTTAATAAATTACTTCCTTCACCAGATACACCAATAACAGAAGAAAAATTGAAAAATTTACCATATTTACGTGCTTTTATAAAAGAGTCAATTAGAAAATATCCTGTTGTACATGAACACTTACGTACAACAACTGTTAATTTTGTTTTAGGAGGATATCAAATACCTAAAAATACCGATATTATAATGCATCATTCACATTTATATCATGACAAAAATTATTTTTCTGAACCAGATAAATTTATACCAGAACGATGGTTAAGAAACAATGAACAATTTAATATAACAGCATCTAAATGCCCGGTGGGGGCATCGAAACCATCAAATCCTTTTGTTTTCCTACCATTCGGTGTTGGAAATCGTATGTGTGTTGGAAAGCGTCTTGTTGACATGGAAGTTGAGATTTTATTGGCACGATTGGTCAACAATTTTCATGTAGAATATAATTATGATGACAAAGATATATTCGAACTGAAATTGGTATATATGCCAGTTAAACCACTTAATTTTAAATTAACAGATATCAATAACTAAAAATGACTGCTTTTTAATATTGTTATACATTAAAATAAAGATTCACTTAAAAACCGAAATGTTATAAAATATATATATACATGTGAGGGAAACAATAAAAAATTTGAAACTTAAACTCAGGACTAAGGCAAATTATTTCATTCGGTATTGAGATTGATTATTGTAATTAGTTTCCAAACTTTAAAATTTTAGATTACTTGACATAAAAAATAAATAATCATTGTAGACTGTTTATTTTAATGTTTTTCTTGACACATTTCTATATAAATTCGTGAGAAATGTCTTATTCCTACCTTAAACTGTATGACATCAATTCCATTTTTATGCCAAAAAGAATCCAACTAGTTTTCTTTATTTGGAATTAACATAAAAAAAATATCCGGTTAATTAACTTCTTCAAAAAATAGAAAATAATCAGTTACCGTCAAGACTTTGAATAATTCAAACGTTTCCTAAATGTTCTAATTAACAAAAAGTTCAGAAAATGATAGTAACTAAAACTTTTCCGAGCTTAATTGCTCAACCGAAAATTTGGTTTCACAGACAATTATTTACAAAACGAGAAGCTGCAAACATAAATAAAGAATTGCAGAAATCTGGAACCATTCCATATGAAACCATACCTGGCCCCAGTAAATTAAAAGTTTTAAAGTACTTTTTGCCCGGTGGAAAATTTCATAACAAATCACGATACTATATAAGTAGAGCGTTATATGATGAATATGGTGAAATTTTCAAAATTCCAGGTTCTTTTAAACAAAGGGATCTTGTATTTACATATAACCCAAAATTTTTCGAGGAAGTTTATCGCCATGATGGAGTATGGCCAAGTCGAACAGCTCTTGAAACTTTAGCTTACTACAGACACAAATTGAGACCAGAAATTTTTGAAGAGACCGGAACGTTACTGGCAAGTAATGGCGAAAAGTGGGGTAAGCTACGCAGCATAGTAAATCCAATAATGATGCAACCAAGAACTGTACGGACCTATGCACCAAAAATCGATAAAACAACAATAAAATACATTGAAAGGATTAGAAAAGTTCGTGATCCAAATACATTAGAATTACCTGACAACTTCAAAACAGAACTAAATAAATGGGCTTTGGAACAAATTTGCTTAGTGGGTTTAGATAGCGAATTAGGATTAATTGAGAATGAACATATTGATAATGAAGCACAGAAATTGATTCAGGCAGTAAATACAATATTTGGAACTGTAGAGGACCTAGAACTTAAACCATCGCTATGGAAATATTATGAAACACCCAAATATAAAAAAATTATTGAAGCTTATGATATACTCACAGATATTTCTTTAAAATATATTAACGACGCAACAGAACGTTATAAATCAATTGAAAAAGATGACAAACAAAATGAAAACGAAAAAAGTATTGTTGAACGTTTAATTAAAATCAAAAAAAAAATGGCCGCCGTTGTTTCCATTGATATGTTCTTTGCTGGTGTTGATACAACATGTACAGCCACTGCGGCATGTATGCTTGCATTGGCAAAAAATCCTGAAAAACAAGAATTATTACGACAAGAAATTCGTAAAGCATTACCAGAACGGAACACACCCATAACAGAAGAGAAATTAAATAACTTACCATACTTGCGTGCTACAATTAAGGAATCAATTCGAAAGCACCCAGTTATACATGAAATACCACGGACGACTAATATTAATATTGTTCTAGGAAAATATCAAATTCCAAAGAATACTGACATTGTATTGAATACCACATATTATTATAATGATAGCAATCATTTTTCAGATCCAGATAAATTTATACCTGAACGTTGGCTAAGAAATCAAGATCAAACTAATATTAGTGTATCTGGATGTCCAGTAACTGCAACTAAACCATCAAATCCATTTGTTTATTTACCATTTGGTTTTGGTAATCGGATGTGTGTTGGTAAACGTCTTGTTGAAATGCAATTAGAAATTTTATTAACACACTTGGTTCGTAATTTTTATATGGAATACAATTATGATGACAACGATGTTTTTGACCTTAAATTAATTTTTACCCCAACTAAACCACTAAAATTCAAATTAACTGATCTTGAAAATTAAAAAAAATAAAGGTTTAGAATTTATCCTTTTTTCTACTCTATTTTTTTATGTGAATAAAAAAATTGCTTGAAGTACAACTAATCTTTGTTTATGTTTTAACTCTCTCACACAAATTATATATACATGCATCATGTGCACCTACTCTTCAAATATGTTATTCGTTATACTGTAGTTGTGTTATCCAAAAACTTTAGCCAGTAAAGTTTTATTTGGCTGGTGCAAAATTTTTTGCATGCGAATCATTAGTTTTATATTCTTTTAACTACAAAAAATGATAAGACAATCTAGATTTCGAACTGGCCATTGAAAAGACCTTCAGCTGACTTTTGTTCTACTCTACTTTTTCACAAATCTGCACACATTCTGTATGTGTATACCAGATAGAAACAAAACTTTTTTAATTAAATCGCTATTCAAACTCACACATAAATCTCTTTTGTGTTTAATAAAATAGCTTTTATCTGAAATGTAGGTAAAGTCTGGTTTATTTTCATACACAGTCAAATTTTTATTTTTTTTGGCAATTGATAAATTGATTTAATTAAAAACAAACTTGTTCAACAATTTCAAAAATAAAAACAGTTCAGTATATGTTCAATTATCAAGGAGTTAAAACACGAAAAAAAACGGGAGAAAATCGCTTTAAAAATGATAACAAAAAAATGTTCATCTTTAATTAACCGATCGAGAATAATATGTTTCAATAGTTCGTGTGAATATAATAATTCTAAACGATTACTTGCAACTCAAGTCGCTCAAAATTTAAATTCTGAACAGGTAAACGTAACAGCTAAGGATGCCAATAATAATATAGAATGGGATTCAGCGGTTCCATACGAGAAAATTCCAGGCCCTAGTAAATTAAAACTTTTAAGTTACTTTTTACCAGGTGGAAAATTCTATAACAAATCTCGGCATTATATAAGTAGAACATTACGCGATGAATATGGTGAAGTTGTAAAATTGCAAGGCTCCTTTAAACAAAGAGACCTTGTTTTTGCATATAACCCTAATCATTTTGAAAAAGTCTATCGATATGATGGAATATGGCCAAGCCGAACAGCTTTGGAAACTTTGGTACATTATAGGCACGATCTCAGACCAGATATTTTTAAAGAAACTGGAACACTACTTACAACCAACGGGGAACAATGGGGTAAGCTACGTAGTACTGTAAATCCAATTATGATGCAACCAAAAACTGTTAGAATTTATGTTCCTAGAATGGACACAACAACAACAAAATTCATTGAAAGAATAAGAAAAATTCGTGATCCCGATACATTAGAATTGCCTAATAATTTCGAAACAGAAATTAATAAATGGGCTTTAGAACAAATTTGCTTAGTTGGTCTAGATACCGAAATAGGATTGATTGGAAACGAAGAAACTGATAGTGATGCACAAAAATTAATTGATGCGGTTAATATAATATTCGGAATGGTAGAAGAACTTGAATTTCGACCCTCATTGTGGAAATATTATAAAACACCAAAATACAAGAAAATTATGAAAGCATATGATGTGCTTACAGAAATTTCACTAAAATATATTGATGAGGCAACCGAACGGTATGAATTAACAAAAAAAGATGATAAACGAGAAGAAAACGAGAAAAGTATCGTTGAACGTTTAATTAAAATTGACAAGAAAATAGCCGCAGTTGTGGCTATTGAAATGTTTTTCGCTGGAGTTGATACAACAAGTACAACCTTTACATCTTGCTTGTTATCTCTAGCAAAAAATCCTGAAAAACAAGAAATATTACGTCAAGAAATTAGTAAAGTTTTACCAGAACGTGATACTCCCATAACAGAACAGAAATTAAAAAATTTACCATACTTGCGAGCAGTTATTAAGGAATCCATAAGAAAATATCCAGTAGTTCACGAACAATCACGCACAACTAACGCTGATTTTGTTCTAGGAAAATATCAAATTCCTAAAAATATTGATATTGTAATGAATAACACATATTATTATCATGATAGCAATCATTTTTCTGATCCAGATAAATTTATACCTGAACGTTGGTTAAGAAATCAAGATCAATCTAATATTAGCGTATCTGGATGTCCAGTAACAGCATCTAAACCATCAAATCCATTTGTTTATTTACCATTTGGCTTCGGTAATCGCATGTGTGTTGGTAAGCGTCTCGTTGATATGGAACTAGAAATTTTATTATCTCGTATGGTTCGTAATTTTAATATTGAATATAATTATGATGATAGTGATATGTTTGACCTTAAATTAATTTATACACCAGCTAAACCATTAAAATTCAAATTAACTGACCTTGAAAATTAAAAAAATTACAAAAAAAAATTTTAATTAAATATATATTTGTTTTTTATTTACGTACTTATATTTTGTTAATAAAAATTCTATGAAAATGGAAGAAAGTTCTAACTGGTGTTTATTTACGAATGATAGTGTGTTGAATGGTGTTGATTTATAAACCGGAAAAACTTAATTTTCAAATTCGTTCATGCCTTAATTTTTATAAAAACTTGCATTGATTTTAAAATCATTTCCATTAACAATATTCAATTGAAATTAAGAAAACTATAAATTGGTCTTACAACTATAATTTCAATAAAATTTCTGAAGCTCCAGAAAATTAGTGTGAGTTTAAAAATTTAATTCAACTTGATACTTTTATTCCCAATTAAATTTTTACTTTTCTTACTTCACTAATTCTTTCCCTGAATAAGAATATTGATGTGAACATAGAGGCCACCCATAAGGGTTAAATATTCTTCATTGATTTGTCCATCGTAAAAAATTCTCTCATAGAGAGAAAACTTTTGTAACAAAGCATGAATTCAATTCAATACAGTACTAAATTTTAATAAATAAATCGTTTATAAAAGTTGCATTTTTAAATTGTAATAGTGTTATAATAGATAGCATTGCAAAAGCTATAAAGTAAGTTTGTGAATGTCATTTTATTAAATAACAATTCAGTTGATGTTTAATCGTCTAACAGAAAAAATAGTTTTTATTCAGCCAAAAACGATTTAAAATGTTAAATAAAATTTTTTTACAACCGATTACCCGATCACGAACAAGCTGTGGTTATAAGAACATTGGCAGGTTAATCGCAACACAAGTAGCAGAAGATTTAAAAACAGAAACAGAACCTAAGAATTACATTGAAAATTTGGATTGGAACTCAGCAATTCCATATGAACAAATTCCAGGTCCCAGTAAATGGAAAATTTTGAATTATTTTCTGCCAGGTGGAAAATTTTATAAAAAACCCCGACATTATATTTCCAAAGCATTACAAGAAGAATATGGTGAAATAGTCAAAATACCAGGTTCTTTTAAACAAAAAGACGCTGTATTCGTTTTCAACCCAAATTATTTCGAAAAAATTTATCGACATGATGGGATATGGCCGAGTAGAAGAGCTCTGGAAACTTTGGTATATTACAGGCATGAATTAAGACCAGAACTTTTTAAAGAAACCGGAACATTATTGACAACAAATGGTGAGGAATGGGGTAAATTACGCAGTACAGTAAATCCAATAATGATGCAACCAAAAACTATTAGAACTTATGTACCAAGAATGGATAAAACAACAAAAGCATTTATAGAACGAATTAAAAAAATCCGCAATCCGAATACATTGGAAACACCAGATAATTTTGAAATAGAACTAAATACATGGGCTTTAGAACAAATTTGTTTGGTAGGTCTAGATAGTGAATTGGGATTAATTGGAAATGAGAAAAAGGATAGCGACGCATACAAATTGATTCAGGCAATAAGCACAATATTTGAAATAGTCGCAGATTTAGAATTTAAACCGTCAATATGGAAATATTACAAGACACCGAAATACATGAAAGTTATTAAAGCTTATGACGTGCTCACTGATATCTCCTTAAAATATATTGATGAAGCATTTGAACGTTACAAGTTAATTGAAAAAGATGACAAACGAAATGAAAACGAGAAAAGTATTGTTGAACGTTTAATTAAAATCAATAAAAAAATTGCTGTTATAATGGCAATTGAAATGTTTTTCGCTGGTGTTGATACAACAAGTACAACATTTGCTGCATTAATGTTATCATTAGCAAAAAATCCTGAGAAACAAGAAATATTACGTCAAGAAATTCGTACAGTACTACCAGATCGCGATACATCACTAACTGAACAGAAATTAAAAAATTTACCATACCTACGTGCTGTTATTAAGGAATCTGTAAGACTATATCCAGTTGTACATGAACACGCACGGACAACCAACGTTAATTTTGTTTTAGGAAAATATCAAATACCTAAGGACACACAGCTTATGATGTACGGTACACATTTTTACAATGATGAAAATTATTTTTCTGAACCAAATAAATTTATACCGGAACGTTGGTTAAGAAATCAAGATCAATCTAATAATAGCTCATCTGGATGTCCAGTAACTGCAACTAAGCCATCGAATCCATTTGTTTACTTACCATTTGGTTTTGGTAATCGTATGTGTGTTGGTAAACGTCTTGTTGATATGGAATTAGAAATTTTATTGGCACGTATGGTTCGTAATTTTAATATTGAATATAAATACGATGATAGTGATTTGTTTGAGCTTAAATTAATTTATACACCAAGTAAGCCTTTAAAATTTAAATTAAATGATATTGTAAATTGAAAATAATAAAAATGACAACACAATATAGTCATTAATAATAAATATTTATAGTGATTTTTAAGAACAATTTCTTGTGGAAGACTAAAAATTTCTTGAAAAATATTTACCTACTTTATTTCTTTAAGTGTTAAAAATAAAATTGTGCTAAAAGCTTCAAATACTCGTAAGAAAAAATTTCTGAATTTTTTAGCACTTGAAGTGAATATTTTTATAAAATTTATTTACAATGTTTAAAAAATTTTGAAGTTAATCTGAGTTTTAATTACAAAGACCGTTTTTGAACTTGTCAGAATTCTTCTTAATCCTAAGGTTAAGAACTTGCACTTCTCGAATTGTAAATATGAATTCTAAATTTACAGTATTTCCCCACTAAAATTTTTGATATTCGAAAAAATATCAATGTTGGATAATGTTATTTAATAAAAGTGAGGCAGATTTTGGTGAACAAATTTACACAATGAAAAATTAACAAGCAAATTTTTTCTCATTTTATTATAAATGTAAACAAACAATGCTATGTTTTCATTTAAAAATGTAAAATTCAAATAACAATTTTACCAATATTTATAAAAGTTTTAAAATATTCAGCAATATTATTAATTTGCACTTTAATCCGGGAATTTCGATAGTTTACTTGAATTTAAAAAATTTTTATCTAAAAGTTTATGTCTAAAATACAACTACATACCTCAATCTTTTTGGCAGTTCTCAAGTTAAACATATAAATATAAGTACATGTATTTACATACAACACACTTGTTGTTTTTAAAAAGTTTGCTTATCTGCAAAATAACGAAAACAAATTATCGGTCGGTTTTGATTAAGCTACCACTTTTAAAGGTATCTGTATATAATTATAGACATGGTTAATTACATTACAATATAATTTATATTCGACAAGTCAGAGAATATAATTTTAGCAAAGCACAGTTTAGTAGCTTCATTGATAGCTAAGAATGAAAACATATTGTGTACATTCAAATAAATATCAAAATTATTTAAAATGATGTCAACAAAAAAAATCTCGCCTATAATTATTCGAAATGGAATTAACGTTTATTGTAACAAAAATTTTACAAAATTATTTGCAACGCAGGTGGCTCAAGAATTCAATAAAGATACAAATATAATTAAGGAAAATTTAGAATGGGATTCAGCAATTCCATATGAAAAAATTCCAGGTCCCAGTAAACTAAAAGTATTAAGTTATTTTTTACCAGGTGGGAAATTTTATAAAAAATCTAGAAGTTACATTGGTAGAGCTTTAAATCAAGAATATGGCGATCTTGTTAAAATTCCAGGCTCTTTTAAGCAAAGAGATGTTGTTTTTGCATTCAATCCAGATTACTCGGAGAGAATATATCGTCATGATGGAATATGGCCAAGTCGAAGAGGCCCTGAAACTTTATCATATTATAGACATGAATTAAGACCAGAAATTTTTAAAGAAACTGGAACATTATTGACAACAAATGGTGAGGAATGGGGTAAATTACGCAGTACAGTAAATCCAATAATGATGCAACCAAAAACTATTAGAACTTATGTACCAAGAATGGATAAAACAACAAAAAAATTTATAGAGCGAGTTAAAAAAATTCGTGATCCAAATACATTGGAAACACCAGATAATTTTGAAATAGAACTAAATACATGGGCTTTAGAACAAATTTGTTTGGTAGGTCTAGATAGTGAATTGGGATTAATTGGAAATGAGAAAAAGGATAGCGACGCATACAAATTGATTCAGGCAATAAGCACAATATTTGAAATAGTCGCAGATTTAGAATTTAAACCGTCAATATGGAAATATTACAAGACACCGAAATACATGAAAGTTATTAAGGCTTATGACGTGCTCACTGATATCTCTTTAAAATATATTGATAAAGCATTTGAACGTTACAAGTTAATTGAAAAAGATGACAAACGAAATGAAAACGAGAAAAGTATTGTTGAACGTTTAATTAAAATCAATAAAAAAATTGCTGTTATAATGGCAATTGAAATGTTTTTCGCTGGTGTTGATACAACAAGTACAACATTTGCTGCATTAATGTTATCATTAGCAAAAAATCCTGAGAAACAAGAAATATTACGTCAAGAAATTCGTACAGTACTACCAGATCGCGATACACCACTAACTGAACAGAAATTAAAAAATTTACCATACCTACGTGCTGTTATTAAGGAATCTGTAAGACTATATCCAGTTGTACATGAACACGCACGGACAACCAACGTTAATTTTGTTTTAGGAAAATATCAAATACCTAAAGGTACAGACGTTTTAATGGTCAATACATTTTATTATAATGACGAGAATTATTTTTCCGAACCAAATAAACTTATACCTGAACGTTGGCTAAGAAATCAAGATCAATCTAATAATAGCACATCTGGATGTCCAGTAACTGCAACTAAGCCATCGAATCCATTTGTTTATTTACCATTTGGTTTTGGTAATCGTATGTGTGTTGGGAAACGTCTTGTTGATATGGAATTAGAGATTTTATTGGCACGTATGGTTCGTAATTTTAATATTGAATATAATTATGATGATAGCGATATTTTCGAATTAAAATTGATATATACACCAGTTAAGCCATTAAAATTTAAATTAATCGACATAGAAAATTAATTTTTTCTAATTTATGTATGAGTTAATGATATAAAAAGTGGTTTTGTAATAGGTTTTGTAAACGATAAGGAAATTATCTAATTTAAAAGTGTTGATAATGCTATTTATAATTGTTTATTAAAGCTGTAAAAGAAGAATTAAAAATTAAATTAAACTTAAGGAAAAATGTTCAGGTAATAAAATCAATAAACTAATATTGAATAAATTAATCTACAATTTACGAAAAGAAAACGAAGACTGATCTTTAATTACTCTATGGTTATGATATCTGAGATTGTGTTGAGTTTGTAATTTAACAGTGTTCATTTATTTTAATTTGGGTTTCTCTCTTTGCTTCAACTTAATGCTCACTCTCTTTCTCTTGCTCAATAAATTCCTATATAATTCCTATATACAATAAATTTCAATTTCAAGTTATTTAAAGTTTACAATTACATCTGCATAAAAAACAATATTTATACGAAATTCTTATCTTACCAAATAAAATGGCTTAAAATAAATTAACAATGTGATCTTTCACAATCTTATTTTATTATAATGCTAAAGGTTCTTCTTGAATTCTTTGAATGACCATTAATGGCATTAATTTTCTTTACGTCGTACATGCCCGTAATATATTTTAATTTAAATACAAATAAAATGCCATGTATATTTATTACATTTGTAACCTAAGCAATGTTAAGACGTCCTAAATCCTTATACTAAATTGTAAATATTGCACACATGCATCTATTTTGTGAAAAAACATCAGTTCTTGTGCAAATTTTTGCCTTCACATTAGTTTTATTAATATTAGTTTTATTTGATATATAAATGTTCGGGTCTACATATACATGCTTATATAATTTAAACATTTTAAAGAACTAAAATCTAATAAATTCATAAGAAATTTCTTATATCCAGTTTTGGGTTATTTTCTTCTTCGGTAACAATTAATGTATTGAAATTTATTTATAAATTTTTATGATTCCAGTTAAAATTGCACTTCCCATAGAATTTTGTAAGGCAACGTAAGTATATGAGGATAAAATTAGACTGAAATTAAATTATCCTTAATTTATTATAATTTTTTGTTCTTAACAGAATTATGGTATACTAAGCGTATTTTGTGCCATGAAAATTGTTAAATTAAAAAGAAAATTCTAAAATTAATAGAAACGTGTTAAAATAATATTGTTGATGAAAACTCACAATAGAAATATAAAGGAAGTTTTAACAATTTGTCGCAACTGGACGAAATATAAGTCGGTCTCATCGACAAAATACCTATGGTATGTAATAATTGGGAATTGACTATGGAATTCAATTCGACGAATGTTCTACAGTGTTACAAGATATTTGTTCTTCTCCTTTTCTCAATTAAAACAAATCTAAATCCTTATAATTTTTCCTTGATTTTTTCTATTTAAATTTTAATGAGTTGGAAACTGTTTTTTAAGTTTTTTTTTTATCTTCTAGTGATAAACAAAACGATGATGGCACGACAATTAAAAACACTTTCATATACTCAAATTAAAATTGAAAACATTGCCCTTACCTTAATGTTAAGCACTAAACAGAGCACTTTTCACCCGAATTCCTAAAATATTTCATAAAATTTTATTTAAAGTTACTTAGTCAACTAATAACATGTCTATAAATTAAACATTTTCAAATTTTGCAGTTTTAATAACTTTATATAAAATTGCATATTTTTAGGCTAAGCTATTTTGATTTCATTGTTCCTCACATATATCTGCATCCAAAAATTTAAAAAAATATATGTGTTTGTATTATTTATGAAAAATATTATAAATGTTTGCCATATGTGGGACAAACATTAATATTAATTGTTTTAAGATTGTTTCATGACAAAGTACAAATTTTTGTCATAATTATTAAAATTAAAATTATTGTTAAAAAAAAATAATTGTAACAAATTGCACTAGAAAAAAAGCACATTAATTTAGAAAGAAATCTTAAGGAAAATAATGAGAAAACTAAAAAAGTATGAAGGTTACATTACACTGTATACATACATATACATTAATAAGGACAAAATATATTGTAGTATTAAATTAGACAGTGAGGTGCGGATAAAATACGTAAAGAAAATTGAAAATTCTCATAAAACTTCTGTTAAATTGTAGAACTGTTCAATTTCTTATATAGTCAATGAAGACATTTAACACCCAGTTTAACTTCATGCAAAGCCTAATTTTTGTATTCAATTTTGGGAATTCTTCTTTCTAGTAATTTCAATTTTACCGTCTCTTAAATTTGCTTAGAATATTCATATATATTAAATGAAAATTATTTGACGGGCAAATATACAGCAAACAATGGGAATCTCGAAATAAACGTTATGTTCTTTACACATACACTTATATACATAGTATGATAATCATGGATAAATTTTTTAAAATTAATTTTTTACTTCAAAAAAGTTTCAAACTCAAAATTCTTAAGGTCATATTTCTTTTTTTCAGTAAAAGCATAAAGAATTTTTTTTATATTGTTACTATTCATCCTCAACTGTTTGCAAAGAATTATGTTTCGGAAATCCCTTCTTTTTTTTTTTTTGTTAAAGTCGAAATGTCAACATACACACAAAACAAATTTGTATTCTGAAATAAACATAATGTAAAGAAAGAAGGACTTTTGATTTACTTAACAATTATTCTTCTCTTAATATAAAAGGAAGAGGAAAATGGATCAAATTTTTCAAACCCAATTTCAAAATAAACATATTATTTGAAATGTACAGAGTGTATTGAAAGAAAATAATAAAAATCATCAAACTGCAAAGTAACAAATCCTTACAGAGTAACATTTGAATTCTTTGGGTCTTACCTCAGGAACGCTACGGACTTAGCGGATGTAAGCGTTTGGAATTTGAACCGATTTCTGAGGATTTGGGGCTGATTTGAGATGAGGAGCGGGAGGGAAGAGATCTGGCGATACCACAACGGGCCTAGTTGGCCTATATGTACCCTTCGGGGAGCCGCGACAACCTAACCTAACCTAACATTTGAATTTACTGTAATTTGAGATTTAGCTATTTTAACATCTTTCAAAAAAATAAATTATTTTAATAGTTCACTCTATTTGCGTGTAGGTGTGTATTCCCTTGCGGCGACCTGTAAATTTACAATTTTTAAGATCTCAAGTTGCAATTTTACGCCTCGTCCTACTAATAATTCCGAAAATTTAAATTTTCGTTGTACTATTGTGTCAAAACTAAAATCAGTTTTAAAATTCGGTAACATTCGGAAAAAATTCAGATTTTTTTTTTCTAACTTAATGCAGCTTAAACAAAACAAAATTGGGATATAGACCGAAATTTCAGGAATTTTTTTTATGGCTTATGTGTTTGCTTACCAGAATATATAAACACATGCAGCGTTCCCACTTGGATACAATTGTATCCTTTTGGATACATTTTTGCTTTAAATTTGAGCTTGGATACAAAGATACTCAAATCTGCTAAAATGCCGAAATTGGCTACATTTTAAAATTTTACTGAAATATGGATACATTTTTTTTCAAACACTAAATAAATATAACAAGACAGTTAAAATGCTGCTAATATTAAATCGCGAAGTTGCTTTACCATCAATAAATGTTATTTGCTGGCTATTCTAAGCAGGTTTCCGAATTTTTTACAAGAAAGTAAAAAAGATACTTTATTAACTGCCTCTTCCTGTATTCAAATTTAGAAAATTCATACAAGAACGTACCAAAAATATTTTAGTGTTAGCTAGATGTAATAGAAAATGCATTGGATGTACATATTTTTTAAAATTTGTCCGTTTTCATGGTCAATCGTCTTTACCGCATAGTTCAACAACTACAGAGGGCATATATACATATTTTTTTTCTGACCTTAACTTTCACATTTAAAATATAATAGAAGTTGTATGTGATTTCTTAAAGAATTTAGTATAAATAACAAAACTCCTATTGTGGAATAAAGCAAATTAATATTAATTATGGGTTAATTTGTACAAAATAAGACGACTTATTATAATAATGCTATTTTACGAGGTTGGATACATTTTGGATACATTTTTTCTCGAAATTGGATACATTTTGTTTTTTCCGAGTGGGAACACTGAACACATGTATAGAATTGAGATATTTTATCCGATCTAATTAATAATAAAATTGTAATCGTATTATGTTGCCCTCCTAAATATATGCAAAAATTATGAATAAAGAAATATTATGATAGTAGACTGTATCATAGTAGAGTAACTAAATCCAATATTTAATTTGACTTAATGAATTTCATATTTAAAATTCAATAAAATCTCAAATGTATTTTAAGATTGTCCCCAAGTTCAAATATTTTTTAATTTTTATACATTCTGTATTTGGATACATTCCGTATTTTAAATTCAAAATGTAAAATGATTTCATAAAAATTTTGGTAATATTTTCATAATAATTGTACATACATACATAATATTATATACATTTAATTATTTTTTTACAGTAATTTGAATATAAACCTGTAAATATAATAGACAAGCACAAACATACATATATGTATGTAAATATTAAAAAAGTATATATATTATTTATCTATCTACATGTACATACATGTTTTATATTCACATTTGTTATACATTTCTATACAATAATAATTTAAATGTGTTAAGAAATTCTCAAATTATGTTCATAAAATATAATATAAAAGCCAAAATGTTATAGGTGAAATGACAATTTACGAACTTTAAATATAAGTGACAGAAAGGTACATGTATGTATGTACACACCTTAGGGTGTATTTGTATAACAGTAACTCTATGCTTTAATACATTTAAAATATACATTTATAATAAATATATTATGGAATATATAAATAAAGGAGGTATTATATACAATTTTAGAACAGTGTGTATGGATTATGTGTGTTCACTTCAAGATCTGTATACATTCATTCCAAAATAGTATTTTTGTAATTTATTTTGTAAAAAGTATAATAAATATAAAAAAATAACATTAAATTATTTAATTGCTTGAAATTTTTTATACATCATACCGACTTTCAAACACAACACTATGAATTATTTAAATGTGTTGAATATGGTTATACAAACATTTTATATATAGGTACCACATAATATTTTGCTATTCATTATTATGTACATATACGAGTACATTTAAAATTAATTCACCTCAAAAATTTTATAAATCCTATTCAACCCTTTGTCTCTATATTTTGTAAATTATATTATATATGTAATGTGTAAGAGTGTATTTCAAAATTTATGTAGATTTTCTATTTTCTTCAAAAAAAAAAAATTTCTTTTTTATTTTATTCAAATGATTTCGAAAATTTGGTACTGTATATACTTATATAAAGAAAAATAAGAAAATGAAAGAAAGCAATGCTATATTTGAATAAAATTCAAATTCCTTGACCTAGTATTAAATTTTTTGGTAAATTTTATATTTTAAGAAAAATAAATTTTTAAATCCGATTTTATCATTATTATATTGTGTGTGTGTGTGTCTTATAAAATGAAGCTACTGTTAAATTATAATAATAACTCTTATGTATTCTTGAAAATCAAAAAAAAAGTTTATAATGATAGAAATTTTAAAATTATTGACCTAAAGAAAACAAGGGTCTTAACATAAAAAAAAAAACAAGAAAAACATATTAGTATTAAAAAGAAAATGTACAGGGTGTTCGGTTTCAAAGTGAACTGATAAAATTTAAAATTTATAAATTGAAACGGACGTATCATTCAAGTATAACCAACACAACCTATAAAGCCTAGGTACAAAATCAAACTAAACCTTATTTAGATGTGGCAGATTTTCAGATCACATGCAAAATTATCATGTTTTAAAAATTCAACATTGAAATTTTTGCAAATTTAAATTTATAAAAAGGCTGTGAAAATTGAAGGAATGAAAGTCCTTCCTTCAGTTCTGACTATTATATTTAATTATAACCTTACCTAACACATGAAAGAAGCAAAATAACAATTATCTAAATAAATTTTAATCGGACAGTATTGAGCCGTTAATAATGGTTTCATACAAAATTTTAACTATTTACAGGACTCTATACTCTTGTATATGCTATAGTAGGTAAAATAGGTAAAATAGAAATTAATATAGAAGAGCAGTTCACTTTGGAGCCCGATACCTTGTAAAATATGTATTTTTGTAAATATTTAATATGTAGCCATTTTAACATACTTGAAATTTGAATTCTAATTGAAACATTTTATAAGAAATGAAAAAAAACTAGAAAAAAAAGCATTTAATTATGTTGACTTTGTTTTTCAAACTGTAAAATAAACAATGATAACAATTTAGAAATTTTCATTTGACTTTTCCTGTTCTATTCATAAAATTTTTATAATAATGATCATCACACATGCAAACTATAAGTACACAATAGAAAATAATTTTATATTTTTTTTTTTTTTTGAGGAGGAATTCTTGAACCTTAATAATATAAATAAAAATTAATTTTAAGAAAATTTTTTAAGAAAAGTGCAATCAACAAAATATTGTTCTAGATAAATTCTTTTGTGTCAAATTATGTGTACAAATTACGACATTTTTTTATTCTCACCTACATAATTGTACAAATAAAAATATGTTTAAATAATTTAACACAAATTATTATCAGGGTTCTTTTAAGATTAATGCCGGGATTGTTTAGTCAAAATAATTTTATATTCTATTGTAATGGAAACAAAATAATTATGTAAACTATTTTTTGTGAAATGTTTGGAAATACTGAAATTAAGAAATAAATTCGGCATATTTCGCCAAATAAAAACGACAACATTGAATAATTTTTTGTTTTAAAAAATACCTACCAAAAAATATAAAATTAAATCTGCACTGTATACTGTACACTCGTGTTGACTCACTCGGAACCGGTTTAGGACCTAAAGACTCTAATTGAAAAAAAAATGTTTTTCCACTTTATTAAAAATAAGCTATAACTTTAGCTATGGGAGACATAACGGTACTTCTAGACATTCGCTGAAACTTTTAAGTACTTTAAGTTCAGATGTCACAACCGTTTAAGAAATGATTTTTGAATTTAAATCACTGTATTTTTAAGAATGATGTAATATTCTACCTTTTCGGAATTTCCCCCAAAATAGATTTTCCATCTTTCAAGCTTTTTGTCAACATGGCAACAATAGTCGTCACACTCCTAGTTACAGAGAAATTGAAATACTGTAAATCATTTAGTTTTTTTAAATATTTTTTTTATTGTCCTACTTTAGTCTGAAGTTACCTCCAGTTACCAGTGGTCAGTTACGTGAAGGTAGTACACACACTTGCGAATTATTTAAACAATTTTCTAATACTAATAATTTTTACCCGAAAACCGTAAACACAAAATATTAAACACAAACAAACAACAGAGCCTAAAACATTTTAAGTATCAATCTTGTACGCCGTATACGATATACACACAATGAAAATTATTTGTTTGTACACTATCCATGGATTCATTAACATTCCACCATATTAACGCTAATCTGCTTGTTATTGCAAATAACAAAATTTTATCTTTTCTATTTGAGAACTGTTAAAACGTTTCTGATTTAATCAGGATCTTAAATAAAATATTGTATGAATGCATGGTTTAAGAATTAGGAATAATTTTAAAGGAAAATTATCAAATACTATTGTTGATGTAAACAAAATCTTACAGAACGCTTGAATGATTAAATTTGCCGCTACTATATTTAAATAACAGATAAACACTAACTATATTTAAATTTACAGATCAATATTGAAAAATGCAATGTAGTCATGCATTTTTCCACAATTTTTATAAACCCAACGTTGATCACTTAAATACAATATTCTTTACATATACACAGTATCCAAGTTTTGAACCCAATACAACGTAGTTGAAGAAAAAATTATAAAAAGTGTTATTTTAATTTTGAATTTTAACTTTAAAATATACTTCGTAAATGAGAGACAATCGTTAATGTAGGTAACATGTAGAAGCTGGGAGGAAATTTTAATAATCTTTAAAATTGATTCGTTTTCAGGCAGACTTATGGCATACCTTGGGAGCATTACCTTTTCAAATAGTAATAAGTTGAGAAAAGAATAAAATAATCTATATGTTCCACCCAATTTTTGTTCATATGCGAAAATTCTATTAATCTGCTTGGGCTATATCATCGAATTAATTGAATACCTCGTATAATAGATTGATATACGTTCGTTTAATGCACTGTTTTCAAATATTAATGGTTTTTATCACAAATATTACTTCAGTTAACTCAAACAGAAGCTGCATTTCTAAATATCTAACATATTCCGTAATAATATTATGTACATGAATACTCGTTTACTATTTGAAAATGAATTAATCAATTATGCCGTGTAAACATTGTTTATAATCTCAATAGAAATTATTCATCTCACTTCAATGACTTGATTATAGTTCTTGCTACCTCTTGCACGTTATTATTTATTTCTAATATTTTTCAACTCCAATAAAAATTTCTATTTACAATGCTTACAATTTCTTGTTTAACTTTTTTGCCCTTAAATATCCTAGAGGTGTTCTATCACTTCACTTTCAGTTTTCCCCCCTTTTTTCATAAAATAATATAAATATTAACATTGATAACATTATGATACTGGATATAATAATAATAAGAATAATAATCGTCATTATTAATATCATAACAATACACAGGACATGAATCTTTAAGAGGAA